AGGGACGGGGCTGGCGGTGGCCCCGTGCCCGCTCTGATCCAGCCCCCCGCGTTTCCCGGCAGGGCCGTGCCCTGGCACCAAGGTCCCTCCCGGCTGTGCCTCGGCTCTGGCTCCGCACAAAGCCCCTTTCAGCCGCTCTGCGGGCTCCTCACCGGAGGAGGCTGAAGCTACATAAAAGCGCATTATGAAAATTATAATATCGGGCCCAGAGCATGTCCGCGGAGGCAGCTCGGCAGCTTTCACGCATTGAGCCCCTGTTCAGCTGGACTGAGCTGTAAAATATCCATTTGAATTCGGTGCCTGAATGGAGCAGCAGCAAGAACAACAAGGACCGGGGCAACAGAGCTCCCTTTATCCCCCCCCCGTGACTTTCCCCTTCTTGGCCATTCCTTTCCTGTTGCACCTTTCTTGCTTATGGGCAAATTCAACGCCTTTTTTTCTCTTCTTTCTTTTCCCTGAGCGGGAAGGGGGAAGGGGGGACGTGTGCGGGAAAGGCCCCGTGCCCTTCCCTGCCTCCCTCCCCGCAGTACGCTCCCGAAGCCGGTGGCTCGTCTGGTTGCAGTGCCGGAGGGGGAAGAAGGGGGAGAAGTACCAGGCGCGCCCTGCCTGGCAGAGCGCAGCTCCCCGCGGCACTCGGCTTCACACGGTGTAAAGAAGCCTCTTTCTGCACCCCGGAGAGCGGCACACTCTGCCTCGGCTTAGCACGGCCCCACACCCTGCGACGGTGCCGCTGCTGAGGCCGATGCGAAAGAGTCTTTGGCTCCGCAAGCCCCAAGGAGCCGGGGATGGGGAGCCACGGGGGGAGAGGGGGACGGTTCTGGCAGTTATGATCTATGGAGGCAGATGAGCCGACCTGCTATTCAAAATACTGCCCATTGTGTTGGTAATGGTCCGTTTATGACTGGAATAACCCCTTTAATATTAATAGAGCCTTTTAAGGCGGCGGTTTCCTGGGTGCTGGGCAGGAGGGCGAGCAGCGCAGGTGTTGGGGCAACCTGTGCAGGCGGTGGCCCGGCCTCGGCTCCGGGCGCAGGCAGCGAGCAGGTGCTGGCGGGACGCGCACCCTCTGCACCCGGGCGAACAAAGGCTCGGCTCGCCCGGGGTCTGCGAGCATGAAGAATTGTTTAATTTCAGGGGAAAGTGAAAGGCTCTGCTTCTGCCGGGACGTGACATTTCCTGTGGTGAAGCCTGCATTGGCTGCTAATAGAGATCTAATTGATGGGTGAAGTCCCATTTCCGCGCTTTCTCCTTTATTGCTCCATCCAGTCTGTTGCAAAATATAACCTTAATCTGATTTAGCAATTCCTCCAGGATTCGGTGCAAGCTTACAACACAGGAAAAAATCGTTATTAAAAAAGTTAAAATACAGACTTGGATTCGGTGCTTTGCCTTTTTTTATATATATTATTATTATTTTGTTTGG